TCCTATAAGGCATTGCCATGTAGCTCTTAATTAGATAGTGTAATGATTCAAAAAAAAAATCAATGTTGACATATTTTAGAAAGAATTGTGTATTATAGATGAATTATAGTGAATAATGACACATGATTTGTATAGCAAATAAAGTACTACTTACAACTATTAAATGAACCCAAGTTGAAAAGAATCCATTACGTAATTACAAAGCTATGACCAATATAATTTGGAATGGTATAGAAATAATTTTTTGAGTGTGGTGTCTAATTTTTGGATTCTATCAATTACTAATCTCATGATATCATTAATGCTTATTAGCAGCTATAAAAGCACCATTCTTAATCACAATTCTTGGCATGGATATATTCCAAATTACTACATTCTAGGACCTTTTAAAATCTTTTGTAAATTTTTAGAACCTTCTAGATACTTGTAGAATCTTTTAAAATCTTTTAGAAAGTTCCATAGGCTTCTAGAAGTCCCTTTAGACTTCTAAAAGCTTCTTTAGATATTTAGAAACTTCCATAGAAAGTACCATAGACCTCTATAATCTTCATCATAGTATAAATAGAAGTCTTTTGAACTTCTTTTGCTATCAATTTCATTCTTTGTCTTTAATCTTGATATATTTATTTGTGAGATATTTTTGTCCTTAACAATTCCTTAAACAACTATAAGATCCATTGCTTGCTCTTTCCAAAACAACATCATCTCTATTCTTTTTTATTTTCAAAAATCTTATGGTCAAATTGCTTTTAAAGTTGACTATTATAAGGCTATTATCTCTAAGCTAGTAAAAAAGATTACTTTTAATGGAAAAAATCTTAAATTAAGCAAACCAAAGAAACTCACTGTAGTAGATGAAAGCACAATTATTTCTCAAATCAACACTGAGAAGGCTGAAAATATTGTTGAGGTTGCTAAAAATCTTAACAATATTATCAATAATCATGTATCAACCCAAACCATTCAAAATTTTTTCAAAAAATAGAATATGAAAGCCATAGTGAAAAAAGAAAAAAGAAAAACCATTACTATGTATGTGCCATTGGAAACAACACTTGGATTTTGCTCTAAAATACAAGGAATGAACTATAGAAGATTGAAAGAGGGTTATTTGGTCAGATGAGAAAAAAATCAAAAAATTTGGATCAGATGGCAAAAAAAAGGTATAAAAACAAAAAGGTCAATCTTTACTTGATAAGAAGATCCAAGAAACAATTAAGCATGGAGGTAGAAATATAATGGTATGGAATTGTATGAGATAGAATGGAATTGGAAGGATGGTAGATGTTGAGGGGAGGATGGATGCCAAACAATTTGTAGAAATTCTTAAAAAAACTTGTTCCTTAGTATTGAAGAATGTGGCATTTCTGAGGAAGAGGTGATTTTTTAGCAAGATAATGATCCCAAATATACCTCAAAACTAGCATGGAAGTGGTTTATTTATCATGGAATTAAAGTAATAGATTGGCCTGCTTAATCTCATTATCTTAATTCCATTGAATATCTTTAGGAACACCTTAAATGCCAGCTCAACACCTAGAAGATAAAACCAAAGAAAGTTTGGAAATTATGGAAAATAATAGCTATGGAATGGAATAATATTGAAGCAGTTTTGTGCCAAAAGTTAATAGAAAGTATGCTTAGGAGGTTGGAAGTAGTTATCAAGGCCAAAAGATGTACTATAAAGTATTGATATGTAATTAGATACCACATTCAAAAAAATATTTTAATATTATTCCAAATTTGATTGATCATAGCTCCACAATTACTTAATGGATTTTTTTCAATTTGAGCTCATTTGATAGCTATAAAAGAGGACTTTATTTGCTATATAAACCACGTGTCATTATTCACTACAATTCATCTATTATACACCATTTTTTCCAAAATATATCAACATTGAAACAATTTTTTGAGTCAATGTATATACAAAGATAAGAGTGATGCCTTCTTCACTCTTATCAACTATTTTTTTGGTTCTAGTCTAGTTCAAAGGTCTCTAGTTTTCTTGTCTTTTAATAATAGTCACTCAAGTTTCTTCTTGAATATATATATTTACTATTTTTTTTTACATCTTTTTTTGAAAAAATATTTACTTATTTATTTGCATATATTAAGTTCTTATCCTTAACAAATTGATAAGAATATACTTATAAGACTTTAATTTTCTAGTCTTTGGCAATAGTCATTTTAGTTCAATATTATACCATCTTTGAGTGATTATTTCTTCTTTTGGAATGATACAAGAGTATGTTGATTCTTTGGTTCTTTGAAATTCATGTCCATGATATCTATTCATTGCATTAATGCTTTTGTGGTATTATAAATTAGATGTCTTTTGAATATTGTACTTATTAATGTGAGACTTGTTGAAATTGGTGATGGTTTCTACGTGATATTATTTCATTATATCATTAGAATTTGAAGATTTCAAGTAATGTAATTGTAGCCACAAATTCTTCAAAGATATCCTAGCAATATCTCTCAAATTCTTCACTTCTTTATTGTTGTTACAATCTAAGAGAAGTTGTAGTTATGTATCTCATAATGTGCATAGTCCTTACATTCATCTCTTTCCTATTGCTCAAAGTCATATTTACTACTGACCTCCTTGTGTGAGGATGTTCATTTGCAACTTTGTCCACTATCATGTTTCTGTTTTGTCGCTTTACTAGATCTAATTGGTCTACATGCTTGTGGTTATATTTTCTTTGTGTATATAGTCATATTATGCCTAACAACTATGGGCTTTGTTGAATTCAAGGGCAAACAATTGTTTGGCTCTAAAATTGCTCTAGTTATATCAAATATACCATGTAACTTCATTATAGTCATTTTGAAAAATGAAAAAAATTGCTATGCTCAAAATTTTAATATGGATGGTGTGTCTACTTTTCCTACAGAATCTAAATTTTATTCTAATTCTTATTCAACAATTCTATCACTCAAAACTATAGAAGAATGTTGGTCTAAAAAATGCTGATTTGTGCCTTTGTGTAGCTGCATTTTTTACAAAGCTCTTGCCTCTCTATTCACTCTCTCTCTCTCTCCTCTAATCAATTGAGCTATTTCAGCTACCTTGCTATAACAAAAACTTATTTTAATAGACAATTAAAAATAAAATTTGAATCATTTGGTATCACTTAAAGTTACGAATGCTAATTTAAGTGGAGATGTTTGTTTTAATATGGTCATCAATAATTGAAGATATTTTTGAAAATATATTAATTTTAATATTAAAAAATTAAACTAATATTTAATAATATATTATTTCTATTTATTATGATATTAATGACATCTTTAATTTAATTAATAACACCATATATTCTTAATATATTTTAATAATAAAATTAAAATTAAATAAAATTATATAGTTTTTTTTGATAATAATAAAAAATATTATTAAGTATTTCTTAAGAATCTATAAACATTCAAAATTAATATAAATTGAAAGAAATAAAAATTTTGAATATATGAAGTAGATTGTTTGAGAAATTTTATTACATGTGGTAATATGAAATTCCAAAAAAAAGAAGATTAAGATAATTAAAAAATAAAAAATTCGAAAACATAGATACTTGCTTTCATACATTTGAAAACATACTTGCTCTCAAACCTTTGATAAATTAATTCTAAATTTATCCTCCTTAAAATTCTAATATAAAGAATTATTGAAAAGATATCTAAAGTATGTGTATATATATATATATATATATATATATATTAGCAATTTAGTTGTTAAAAGAATATTCTTATAAGATAGGATGTTGATTTTATTTTTAAATTTTGTTATGGATGCTAAAAGAATTAAATAGTGTATAAAATTCTACTAATTTCCAGTATAAATTCTGAACATAATTAAAATTATTGTTTAAGCAAGTGCAAAATAAATTTATTCTTGTTATTTATTTATTTATTTATTTTAATGTGAGATAATCTCAATGATTTGCATTTGCAACATTATAAAAACATGATTTACACTAGACTTGTGAAGGACAACATAAACTTGAATATAGTGGATTAGTTGAAAAATATGTCAAATAGTACGCACCATGTAATACTTGCAACTAGTATACTAAGAAAAACAAAGCTTACAAGATGAATTTAGAAAAGGTTACATATAAAAATTAGAAAAAGAGTAGTTGTTGAACAAGCTAAAACAGAAAGATAAGTTAGTATCTTGGTAATAGATGACCACTTCAAGAAGTTTATGCATATGATTCCAATTTTTTTTAAAAAGAAAAACTTTTGCATACAAGTTACAATTTATATTATTTATTTATTTATTTAAATGTGAAGTGGAAGCCTTATATATTATTTCAATTGAAATCCAAAATTCACAAGCACCTCTTTGCAAGAATCTGTTTTACAAAAAAATTAAATAATAAGTTGTTTAGTATGGCATTTTTATTTATTTATTTATTTATAATCCAAATCTAATAATACATACAATTTTGGTTCTATACTCAAGAATCACTTTAAAAACAAAAAATTTATTTTTGGCAGAATTAATGAATTTAGATTTTTGTTTTGCTAAAATTAAATAGAATGAAAAAAAAAGAAAAAGAAAAAAGAAATATATATATATATATATATATATAACTTCAGACACACTTGTCAATAGAGATGTGAATGTAATAAAAAAATACTAAATATATATAGAGAGAGAGAGAGATAAAAATGAACTTATATTTAAATACATATTAAAAGAATATAAAATATTGCTGAGCAGATAAATATTAAAAATGTATAAATATATGCTAATTTTATTGCCACGTAGATTAATTACACGTCTTTTCCTCTAGTTTTCACCTCTACAGTCTATTTTTCTAATTTTGATTTACTAAAAATACTTTATGTAGATATTTGACAAAATATATATTTTGGGTATATCTTTTG